AATGTTATAAAAAAATCATTAGAGAAAAATATACACAGTAAAAAAAATCTTCTAGTAAATTGTATAATAAAAAATAATGAATACCTGTGAATGAATATTTTAAATGATGAATAGATAAAACAAACCATTCTAAATACAGAATTTAATTAATAATTTTTACCAGTGGAATCTTTATTTATTTCAATAGAAGTAGATATTGATATGCAATAAACAGTCTCATCGCATTATTCATTAAGGAAAAATTAATTATTAAATATTCTAAAAAGAAAACCAACATTATTTTTTATTTATAGTATTTACAAATTTTTTATCTGGTCCGCCCGCACATTACACAGATAGGTCATACGCGAAATCGTGCATAAAGTTTGTATTTCCCAAAAACTCGAAACTATTAATGTTGATCAAATGTTATTATTATGACCGACTCTCTTTAATAGTAAAAATGTGCGGGTCTGGGCCCCTAAATGTACTAGAAGCCTTTCTTTGTACAGATAAACATGTATTAGCATGTTCACTTGGTTGCGCCAGATCAGTTATGATTAATTTGTGCTACAGGATTTTTCATTGGATGAGATTACGTGTCATTCCATTTCAATGTGTTATTTATTTTTTTAAGCGATTTTACGTGTAAAAAAACAACCCAAAAAAAACTTTTTCTTTTTCAAGCCACCACTTGTTTTTTCTCGAATTCTACCATCTCGTCTAAATATCTCTTTTTATCCTTTTCACTTAAATCTTGGTAGATCTAATGATAATATTATATCAGGAAAGGAAAAAAATCATTATAATAAAAATACATTAATACGACCAATCAATCATAAATCAAGTAATCAATCAATTAGAAATTACCTTCTTTTCTTTATCCAATAAATTTCTCCATTTTTCTGCAAGTTTGGACACACGAACTGTAGACTTTTCACCATCATTTACATCCATATTTTTTACAACGAAATAAATATAAGGACTGGTTGGTCTTTTGGGCATATTTGGAATTTTCAAAAGTTTTTTTCCTCGTCTCTTTCTCAATTTACGATGTTTATTCTCAAGTTTAATATCATCTACTGTCAAAGAATTATACCATTTCTCATAATTCTTCTTATACTCTTCTCTTTCTTGAAGATATCTCGCTTTATAACTCTGTTTTGTTATACGATGATGATTGTCATCTCAAATAATTATAATTATATAATCATATTCATTATACACAAGAAACTATGACTTACCTCTTTCATATCATCGGGTAACTTTCTCCATTTTTCACCTACAATTTTACCAATTCTTCGCACGTTAAGGGTAGGATCTTTCTCTATTTCCG